ACTAATATGCTTTATGGGAGTTATGTCTACTTTATTTGTAAAATTGGTAAAATTACCAATAAAATTTCCAATAAAGTTTTCAGAAGTTTTGTCCAGATTTCATTGAAAATGAATGTGAGGATTGATCAGTCATATTCCTTAAGAGTGTTTAAGCTTCCAGGATGAGAGCTAATAGATTTATTGAGTGATTCATACATGATTTGTCTCCTGTAAAATTGTCACAGCTAAACCCCCTGGCAAATGTCTATAAATTTTTTTAATATAGCAGCCAGGTTGGTGTTCATTACCACTTAAAGTGCAGTATCAAAGTCTCCTTTTGACTTCAGTCTTATTTCTCTAAAATCTAATAGATATAAATGATCCATTTTCATAAAAAAGGAAACTCTCCTCTATATTTTAATCTGACTTTATTCAGTCTTGTTTCCAGGGGATACAAGCCTTGGGAAAAAGTTTGGGTTTTGTCCTCACTGATACTATCAGCTGTGCAGGTTCTTATGAAATTGTCAGATAACTCTCATAACTTAATAGGTTGCAAAAGGTGTATGTGATGTTTTTGGGCTGTAAGAAGGATGGATGAAGTCAAATATATTTTTCATTAGGAAAATAATTGATTCAGTTGTGATTTGTTAAAAGAACTTTTAAACCAAAACCTAAACTTCTGTGAACTTTTACTTCTTGCAAATACAATGCACTAGCAGTTTAAGCTCTAAAACACTCAAAGGAATTGAACTCGATTGTACACGCTTTTGCATTTGGAAAATCAATCAATGTGACTTCCTTTCACACCACACAACCATATTAAGACTGGGGTGCTTCCGTCTAAGTTACAGAGGGAAAAATGACAAGAAAAGTTGTCTCAAGAACTCGCTCTACTATTGTTTTCCAGTGCATTTTCCTGCTTGACTTTTTTCATGGGAAACCCACACAGGCATGTAGCAGCAGTTATCCACTTCAAACATAAATTTACTGAACAAGTGCAGACAAAATGCCTCTCTAGTTGATCTATGTAAAAGCCCAGAAACTGCCCAAAAACATCACATACACCCTTCGCAACCTTGCGTTTCAACCTATTAAATTACGAAAGTTATCTGACAATTTGATGAGAACCTGTACAGCTGATAGTATCAGTGAGGAAGCTCTCATCCTGGAAGCCTAAACACTCTCAAGGAATATGACTGATCAATCCTCACATTCATTTTCAATGAAATCTGGAAAAAACTTCTGAAAACTTTATTAGAAATTTTACTGGTAATTTTACCAATTTTACAAATAAAGTAGACATAACTCCCATAGAGCATATTAGTCTAGGCAAGTTGTGTACAGAGAACAAAAGACTAATAATTTAAACCAGTAGTAAGCTTCTGGGAATAATGACAAATTCTTGAATAACAGCTTGCCACAGTAAATGTCACTGCCAACCATTCTGTCTATACTACCAATTATTGGGTCACTTCACATTACCTTAAACAGAAGAGAACATAAAAGTTAATTCATATCATCAATCTTAATAAATAAGAATTTCATGATCACGACACATACAGCAAAGTGAAATATAACTCAACTGGTTTGAAATTCATAGTGCGCTTCGACTCAACATTCATTTCGCAAGGCAAAGCATTCTACTGAAATGAACAGGACAGGATACGGCTGACGCCATTCGTTTCGAATAACACATGAACATGAAGAAAAGGGCACCAGTTTTACTCATGAGACAGAGCCCACGCATTTTTTAGGTTAATGGACTAGTTAGACCGAAAGCTAGATAAATAAACAATGAACTGACAATAAAAGGGATTTGGGGGCCAATTGATAAATAAGTTTTACCGAAGTTTTTCCTCTAGTTAGTACATGAAGCTCGAAAAGGCAATAATAAAAATTACCGCCAAAACACAGTAAAAAAATAAGCCAAAACCGTAGTTGATTGAGGTAAGACCATAACCGTTGTTAAGACACATGCCTACCCACCATATTCAACAGACTTAGAGAGCAAAAAGGCCAAAGACGGTTTTGGGTCATGACTTGAAAAATCCACCAAAACCTCCCGACAAATAATTCGTCGAGGGTTGTAGTTAGAGCAACTTAATCCTGAAGCTGGAACATTTTTTAAAGCCTTGTGTCCTATATGACTGTAAAGAGAAGGAAAAGACGATGTTATTTAAAGTGATTTGATGCTTGGGGGCCACCTCAAACTTAACGCAATTTTACTTCGAAGTTGAAGTAAAATAATATCAAACTCTAAATTTCTATCTTTCCTCGGATCAAATATCTCACGATCGTCTCCACAGAAAACTTTGTGATTCACAAAAATAAAACATCAACATCTTAAGACTAACCTTCGAGGTTTGTTGTCTCATGTGTACATATTGATCTTCAGTAACTCAAATCTCAAACTTCAAGTTTTCGGGCTTTTTTCGCGTTTTGTTCGCACTTTGATCATTAAAATATCCTCAACCGAAGTGCCAGCAAACACCATGAGTATCCACAGAATTAGAAATGTTGGCGAACTTGTCATACTCCTTCATGCATATTCACAAAATATTACAAAAAGGTGTCGATCGTCCAGTGTAAGCTCGCAGAAACGCGTCGAAAACTCTTCAAATGGCGCCGAACGCGACAAACTAATTCCGCTCGCGCATGCGCAGACAAAATGCCACTCTGCCGCACGAGCGCGAACTTTGAATATCTGGCGAAAGCCCGCTTATGCCGAGTCTTACCCTGGGGAGAAAGAGGGAGTTACTTTTTGCTCAAGGTCACTTACTACTTAGGGAGGGTCGGTGAAGACACAGAATGTCGCAACTGAGTGATGAAACCAAATGAAATTTGAATCAGTGTGAATCGTCACGAATGAACCTTGCTTCAATCATAGTTAGTAGAGGGGTCCCCTCTACTAACTATGCTTCAATTAAACTCATTCTGTGAAATTGACAGGCGGCCCGGTTCCAGATCTCACAATGTTAAGCCGCGGCTGCACGAGCGATGTTTTACTTGCGATGGTGATGCAATTTTCTCTAAATTTGTCGCTTCGCTAGCGCGCGGTGCAAATCACCCTTGTAGCCACCCTCGCGCAAGTGCTGCGATGGCGACAGTTAATACATCGCTGAAAAAGATCGCGAGTAATTCAACGATTTGAACTTTTCATGACAAAATCACAGACTTTGTCATCCGTGTAGCTACCACCACACGCCGGTGACGCGAGAATTTTAAGAAAAAATCGCATCACCATCGCAAACAAAAAATCGCTCGTGTAGCCGCGGCTTTAGAATAGGATCTTGGTTTGCGTTTGTTGAGTCTAGATCGAGTATCGGCCAATTATCGCCCGACTATCGCCCGAGCGTCGACCGAACGTTGACCGAGCGTCGACCGAGTGTCGACCGAGTGTCGACTGACGTATCGGTCGACTCAACTGACTCTCGACCGATATATCCACTGATGTGTCGTTCGAGGTACCTTAAAAGATACATGATCAAGAAGTGTAGCTGTACTGCAATACAGTCCTGTAAACAATTAGAGGCAGCCTCGTTACTGGCATTTCCTATTTGAATTTGGATCGCGGTCAGCAAATAAGGATCAATCTAAAGCTGTTGTAAGATTTTATCAGTTCTCACGTTTATTAGTTTCCCAGTTCCTGAAATGATGTGTATTTTTGATGAGATCGGAAATAGGTCAGTTTCCCTTTACCCTCGCTAGTTCTCTCACGGTCGCGTTCGTAGTTTCTCAGTGAAGAAGTAACTAGCTCTAGTCTTGAACTGTTCAATGAATCTTTAAACTCTCTAAGAACCCCTACACAGTATTAGCGTGTCTGAATAAAGCTGTTATATCAATCCTCTTTAATGCCAATGGTTTGTAATTAAAGATCTTAGGCCTTTATAATGGTTCATCGATCAATTTCGTATCAATGGCGTAAATCCAAGTTGCACATAAATATTCACTTAAGGCTACGTTTGAATAATTTATTTAGCAGATAATTACAAAAAGAATCAAATAATTTAAACTAGAAAAACTTCCTTAAATATTTATTTTCTTGTCTATGTAATGTGTAGAAATCGACGATTTTAAAATCAATCTTTGAATTCATGTTTCTTACACGGTTAAATAATTTTTTTCTCCCTTCTAGAGCTCTGAGTTCTGAGGCTTCGTTGGGAGAAATTCTACCCAATCGCCCTCTCGTTCTTGAGTCTTCAAATTTTATATAAAGGATCCTTCTGAAGTATTTCTCTAAAACATAAAATAATTGAAAAAAAGGAATTAAATAAATGATATTAAAATTTTCTTACAAAACGTACAGAAATCGACGATTACAAAAACGAACTTTGCAATTCATTTTTCTCACATAAGTTAAATCTAAAGAATCAAATAAGCTATACTAGAAAAAATTCCTTAGATATTAATTTTTTAGCTATAGGCTACACACTGTGTAGAAATCGACGATTGTAAAATCAACCCTTGCAATTCATGTTTCTCACACGAGTAAATAAATTTTTCTCTCCCTTCTCATTTTCTTTCTCTTTAAGGATAAATCACTGACGGGTTTTCCTTTCTATCGCGAGTACTGCCTTCTTAGAAAAAAGCAGTCCGACTGATTGATTGATTGATTGATTGATTGATTAACGATTTGACTGACTGTCATACAAAGGCACAAACAGGAAGACAGACAGACTTTCTAGCCTTGCACTTTACTGACCGGACAGAATGACAAATAAACTAAGAAATAAAAACTGAGTGAAAAATCAATACATCGTTTATCTGTTTCCAGCAGATTCAGCTTTTGACAGGCCGATATTCAATCATCTTCTAAGCAAAAAGGTGTTTTCTCAAACTCTGAGTTCCGTGGCTTCGCTGAGAGAAATTCTACCCAGTTCTCCTCTAGTTCTTGGATCTCCATCTTATCAAAAGGAGGTTCCCACGAATCCAGCTTTTTCGCACACTCTCGCGCGCGATTCATTTCTTCTTCTGCATCCTTAGTTCTTTTAAGACCTCGAAGAGCAATTGACAAGGCTTGATGAGTGTGGATCAGCTCGTCCTGTGTGTCTAATACTTCTTCTTGTAATTCCATTGCCTCCATAAGGTTCTTAAGGGCACTAAAAGAGATGCAACGTCAAACAGTGAGCTTCCTCCCATTTTTCTTCCTAGAGAGGTGATAAATTTGCTAGATATTTCACCAAAGGAGATTCACATCCATCCGATGCATTCCCTTAAAAAATGTTATCTCTAGGTCCAGTGTGATAAATTCTGATCATTTCTCTGTCTTACCATTAAAAAAAAAAAAGAATCCTTCAACGTAAAACATCTGATATGGTTAGTTAGATATTTCACCTTCGTGTCATTCACCGAGTTCGTCAAACCAAGAAACCAAACGGTTTGAGAAACGAGGACGACGTTCGATAAAACAATATAATAATTCTGAGCGTGCATCAAAATTTTCCCTACGTGACATAACTTGTCGTCACCGCAAGTCTGAGACTGCACGGCCTTATTTGAACCGCTCAAGCACTCAGCGAAAATTTTTTTATTCCCACTTCTGAACGCAAATGTGCTCCTCAAACCTATTAAAAAGAGAAAATCCAAATAAGCTGGCATCTCGACAGAGTTGCATTGACTACGATAATATTTTAAAGGGGCAATCGCACTTGGGATTGAACAATTTTGCTAGCGTTGTGGTTGCTAACACTCGCTTTTCTTGTAAACTTTACTCCGATAATATCAGGCCTAAATAATGCTTTATAATTAAAATGAATAACGAAGTATCATTTCTCACGTTTCGTAATCTTTTTTCGCGCTGTACGCCACACCCAGATCATAAAGAGACCTCGCAGTTTCCTGATGTTGCCTCAACAGTTTCGAACGGATTGTAATTGATCTGCTGCTGTAGTGAATGGCGTTGTCGTAGTCACCCAAGGCGTGGTAACTATTGCCAATCCAATTAAGTGTCGTTGCCGTAAACGGGTGGTCACCCAGGTTCTGTTTATAAACAGGAAGCACTTTTAGCAGCCTTGTTTGAATAGCCTGCATGTGGTTTCGTTGCACCATTTGAGAAGCTGTAGGTAAAAAAAAATAATAAAGTAACAACTCCAAGGTACAATGTCGAGAGATCGACTTTTCCCTGCTGAGACCTGCTCTGGCCTTACCAATTGAGAGTCATATAAGAAACTAGAGTGGAGTAGTAGCCGTTCTGCTCTTGCTACACACTGACCTGTGCCACCAATATCCCTTGCTTACTGTTGCACCAATTCATCTGCATGATACTGAAAGACCTTAGTCAAGCTCCTGCAGGATGCCAGTGGATTTCACATTCTACATGTAGGTTTTATGAAAAAGATTTAATGGAGGTAACCTCTTAAAGATTATTTTTCTTTGAACTATTAATATCTCACACCATGAGAAATTAAGAAATAAAATTGCTACCAACCTGCTAAATCATTGAAACAGGCAGCTAACATTATTTGGTCTTCGTGCCTCTTTAATTCTTCTGCATTCTCCTTTCGCAATTCCAGGGCGATGTTGAGGTGTTTTTGGCCCTCTGCAACACTCTTCTCGCAAATACAACAGAATCCAAGCTTGCTCAAGCACTGGGCACGAATGCTTTTCTCAACATGCATAAGATTGGACTGAGTCTCATTTGCTTCAGTCAAAATTTCCTGCGCTTGATACAAGGCTCTTGGACAAATGTGAGGGGTACATGTGCAGCTTGAAACTATTTTCATTCCGATGTTTGTCAAGCAAGCGCTGTAAAGGTGCATGTGATAGCGACATCGATACGCAAGCTTGCAAAAAAGCGACTGAAATTCATATTTGCGCATCACTTCTGCAAGAAATACTGCGGCCTTGTTGAAGGCATCAATGCATTGCTCCCTGAAGGTTTGGTCAAGCTCAGGATGATCATCTCCACACCACGCTATGGCTTCCCGAATGTTGTCCTTTTCAGATAAGTACTGGTCAATTGCCGATTTGCAATCTTTAGTCAAGAATGTTCTGCAAAGAGTAACGGCTAAGTCACTGTAGTGACGAATGAAAGTTACTTTGGCTTCTCTGTGATCTGACTTTAGCGAGAAGAAATCTCGTATGAAAGGATGGAGGGAATACTGACAACTTCTTCTGTCAAAGCGAAGGAGGCTGCTGTGATGCAAGCAATTCAGAGACGTTTGCAAATCAGCTGTTACAGATGACCTAAAGACTACTTGGAATTGTTCTTGCGTGAATCTGTACGGAAATGTAGAGAACATCACAATAATCTTCTGATTTTCTTCACTTAGGCGATGAAAACAGATTTCAAGACACTTGTCGATACGATCCTCGTTCGGTAAAATCTCAGGGTCAGTTAATTCCCTCACCAGAGAACCTGGTGAAGATGTGGAGAGTCTACGTGCCGCTCCCCTTGGATTTTCTCTCCTCAGAATCGAGATCACTGTGCAGATTATCAAGGGAATACCACCACATACTCTGACCAGGTCCTTAATCAGATCTTCGTCCAGGCTATCCTCGCACTTTGCGAACATAGAAGCTGAATCTTTGTCATTCAGAGAGTCTAAGTTAATGAGTTCGAGAGGAAAAGACACACTAAAATCATAGGTTTCTCTAGATGTAAGGACAAGGTGAATGTTTGGACTTTGTCCAAGGTCTTTAAAAAATGTCAGAAAGTCGTCCTTCGTGTATTTTCCCCACATTTTAGTACAGCGACTTTCGGATTTTAGTTCTTGATGGTAGTTATCCTTGCTAACTTGGTCTTCAAGATGCAGCAAGTTGTCAATGTTTTCAATGATTAACACAACGCTTTTTCTCTTCTGGGAATTTATGTGACTGAATACTCCAGTTATTGTGTTCTCACCGGGAACGTACCTCAAAGTCTCTATTATTTTGCTTGCTAAATCTTCTACACAGGTGAAACCTCGAGGTTTAACGTACGCGATATACTTTTTCCTTTCGATCATCCTATGAGCGACCTCTATTACAACTGATGTTTTCCCGTATCCAGGTGGCGCTACAATTTCAACCGCCTTGTTTGAAGACAAGGTAGTTATGATGTGTTCGCATGTTTCATTGCGGCCCACCAAATCCGTTCGATCTGGCAAGCTTCCATCGTGATCAAATTGCTCCTTCACTTCTGCAAGTGAAAAGACAAAAAGATCACTGATGAATATTAAAAACAGTGAAGAAGAAGCAAAGCGTAACGGTATAATGATAAAATTATATAATCAGAGACAGCACGTGGCTACTGGCCTGGTAAAGCACAATATTCATAGCATTGAGAAGAACTAGAAGTTGTATAATGATGCTCCAATGTACTGTTGCAGAATGCTAGTCTCACATGTAAAACATAAACCTGACGTATCCCACAAATTTATGAATACCCGGTTCCAAAAGAGAAAGGTTGTTCAAGAATACAGGATTGTCTAATTGACATTCAACCAAATCCTCTAGGCACCAACAATGATTACCTATGCCTCTTTCAGTTTCGTCTGGTAATCATGAAAGATCTTCTTATTTAACTTGGCTAAATTTCTTTCCAACTGAATTACAGTTTTTTGTGATTAATTGGTAATAAGACTTCGTGTCGTCCGATTCGGTTTGTAATCAATGGCTTGATAAAAAAATCGGACGACCACGTTGTCACTCGAATAAGTTATCACTTGGACTTCATCACTTAGCCCTATTTCCATTACTTATTGGCCCATAGCCCCACTTCTATTGTATAAGTTACAACCACTTGCAAGACGTTTTGAGTAGGGTATTCACTTCAAGTATTTTTGTTAGCACCTTAACAGTAGGGTTAGAGCAAAACACTGAGAAGGAAATACTGATGACAAGCTCAATGAAAATGAACATTCTTAGTAACGTACAGCACGCTTTTGACCAAGACGAATAACCTTGGCAATGTTATGGGCATCAAGTATGTATTAATGCTCTCCTTATTACCTTGCTTCATAAAAGAATCCCGCTGCTCTCTTTCGAACCCAGTTAAAAACACCTGACCTGTCGGATCTGGCATGCTTAAGCTGTCCTGAAATGAACAACCAAGTCCTTGCAGGGCTGAATCTGAAGAAAAAGAAAAGACACCTAACATACACCCCTTCAAGTATCTTAAAAATATATATACTGTGTGCATGTATACCTCATTACTTTTCTTCCAGCCGGCTCATGTGCAAGGAATAGGAGGAAATGCTTATTAGAGACCATGGCTTGTACAAAGAAAAATAGCACACTGGAAATAAGAAGACGAAGGTGCAGCATGAGGAGAAAGGAAAACACTGACGTCGTCACAAAATCCTTAGTGCTAACTTATATCATTGACTTATATTAGCCATTACTCACCAACTGTGTCTGGAAAATGCTCAGATATAATCTGTATGGCGTCGTTTCGCTGAATCTCATCTAGTGCCTTGGCAACGTCACTTAAGGCTTTTTCAGGAAACTGCGCGGCCAACCATTCTAGGACCTCTTTTGTAGGACTTCTCATGCTTTGTTTGATATCAGCAAACTCTCGACGCGCGTCGGCTGGTACTTCCATTTTCCAGGCCAGATGTGTCCAGTTTTGGACTCCTGGACAGTTTTCTCGATTAAGTTCTTGCGCCAACTTTTCTAAGAGTTCAGATCCAGGGGTTATAACATTTTTAAGTAGCATGTCATCTGCAGAAAATTAAATGTATCCATAAATCACCTAACTTCTCACAATGGGCCCTTATGTAGAGGAAACTTTTGTACAACCCATCCTTGAAATACTCATGCAGCCAGTTGTATATAGGTCTCTACAAAAAGACAATTAAAACTAAAACAAAAAACCAGCAGCAGAATCTGACTTTCGTATAGGCCACTTAAAAAAAAACCCTGGCTCCGACGGTAGTATTTTACTTGAAATTCAGAAACCTCTCTTTCAGCCAGCATTAATTTACATCGTGTCCTTGTTACAGCGTTGATATTTTACCTCTCAGGTTCTCTTCACGAAGTAATTTGATCAGATCCTTTCTTTGGATAGAATCCAGAGCTTTCCCTAGACTTAAAAGTGTCACATGTGGGCAATTGGTGGCCAAATACTGGAACAGTCTGCCGGTCGGATTTTCTGTCGATCGTCTTTCAAACTCCCAGCAGGTTTTTCTAGGCACACCCAGTCTCACCGCCAAGGTGTACCAGTTGGACAACACCATTGACTTCGCGTCTAAAGCCAAAGCAATTGCGTCCAAAAGACCAGCTCTTAGTGAGGGAGCTTCATAACTTTGGGAAGTGATTACATCGACAACTTTTTCAGCGTCAGCGCAACCAGCTGATAATCAAACAAAATTAAGAAAAACACACTCTGAATTCTTGAGAACTCCTTGATTAACTACAGCTAATGGAAAATATGCATGGGTTATTGACCAAGCGTAAAGTCAAGATGGCTGAATATTGACCGAGTTCCTTTTTTGCGTTTTTAGTGACCGAGACGAAGTCTGTGTAGTCAAAGTCTTCATGGTTTTGTTACAAACCAGGATAAAGTTTCTCAAGTTCACGAAACGTCCGTGAGTACGAAACGAGTACACACCAGACGAATAGCGCATCATCTTCATGTTAGAAACAAACACCGCTTTTAGAGTCATCAGTGGAACATTTTTCTATTTTGATCATCTCCTTCATGGTTTTGGTTTTTGGAAACAAAAGTACTTTAACCAAAAATTGAAGATCGCTCAACTGTATTATCAATTTTTTTCGGGGGACTTATTTAATCACTTTCATCAGAGTATGGTGAGGGTCGCACAACAGAGCGAGGCTCCAAATTAAGTGCGCCCAATATCCCACCCATCCCACCCCAGGGGAGGACATCCATCACACAGTAATCTCGTGTGTGGGAAATTAACGTCTCCTACCCCAACCCTGCAGGAGACGGGACCTCCATTTATTCGTCCCTATCCGAGAAGACTAGAATATCTAACCATTTCTTGATGTTATAGAAAGGCAGCAAATTCTTCTCAATTATTTTAAGACCCTGAGTGTTGGTCCGGTCGGGGCTCGAACCCTCGACCTCCCGCACAACAGTCCAGCGCTCTATCCATTGAGCTAACCGGGAGGCGGTCGACTAAACTTTCAGGCGGGGACATGACTAAACTTTCAGGCGAGCTGATTTCCGGGTGACTTGACCGGTTACAAGCTAGTTAGTGACTTCAAAGCCGCTGACCATAAATATCAAAAAGTTCTCTCGCGCTTTGCTTTCTCTATAAAACAAAAAAATTCAAAATACGGCTGGAGGACCGTTTTCCCCTCCGTAAAATAATGAAAAATCACGCAACCTCGCTAGCTTCGTATGCCCCAACATGATGCAATCTTGCTTTCAAATTTTGTGTGCTAGCAGATGGTCCTGTTTTCTTTTTGAAAATATAAATTTCTTCCTATGTTATTAGGTTTAAGTCTGAAAAGTGATCCGTGAAAACAAGGTAATTCGTGTCTCTATCGCCAAGGTAAAATAAATGTCAACCTCAATGGCTTATAAAGGGATTTGCCATATATATTAACAGATCATAATATACATCATCCCAAAGCTTTATCCCTGTACTCTAATTCCTCTGATTTTCTCTTAGGGCAAGTTATTAGTAGCGCGTCCAGGTTGAAGAGGGTCCGGGTTCTTATGACAAAAATGCAGTGAGATTTGCACAGCTGTCACGGCCCATTTAAAGGTCATACATGGTCTGGTAAATACGTTTAAAAATCTTAATACACATTATCAGAAAGCTTTGTGATAGTAGGTTGATTCCTCAAATTTCCTTTCTTAGCCCGCCATAAGCGGTACGTCCAACTTGAAAAAAAAATTCGGGCTAAAATGACAAAATACAATGCGAAAGGCTGTCACGCAAGTGGTCAGGGTAAATCAAGAATGTACCATGTACATGACAATGTACGTGACCTTATGCGTGAGACGCAAAGTACTTTATTTCAACGGGTCATTGTTCAGACTTAAACATAGCAACACGAGAAGAAATTTGTGTTTTGAAAGAGAAAAAAGGACCACCTGCCAGCACACAAGACCGTCCCTTAGAAGTATGACCACCACCAAACAGGTGTACGCACTACCAAACAGCTTCATAACTTTGTCTCTAGAGCTACTGAGAAGATATAGCAACTTTGAAACGTCCCACGCCCGTGACAAGATGAAAAAAATCTTTCCATGTCCCATATAATGTCTCTGTTAATGATCACACAGACAGAATAGCAATTGACTTCGATAATTTTTTGTCCTACCTTTTGTGATCAGTAAACTGATAAGGTCGTTTCTCCCGATCTCCAACATGGTCTCCTTTAGTTCTTTAACCGTCAAATCTGGATTCGAAGCCGCAAGAAAATCAAATAATCGGATGGTAGGACTGAAGTCACCGTACTCTTCCAGTCGTCTAATGACATCCACGTCAACGTGCAGTTTTGATGCCAAGTGTCTCCAGTTACGTATTAATCTCATATCACGGTCCAAGCACAAACATAGCTCCTCTATAAACTTTGGATTACTTCTTAGAATTGCAGATAGTTTCGGCCCTAAACATAGCAGAAAAGTCAAACAATATTAAGGACTCTTTAGGCTTGAATTCCACGAAAATTATGCTGACTGCTTTCTTAGAAACAGATCTAACTAGTCAAGAATCAGTAATGGTTTTCTGTATTTTTTACTTAAAATTGACGTCCACGATACCAAAATGCAATCAAGTAATATAGTAGCTGATGTATCAAAATTGTCCTGGGGGTAATTAAAGTCGATTGTCATTACTTCCGCCATGACAATGCAATATTTTCATAGTTCAGTGAAGCATGAACCTGATCTTTAAAATTTTGTTTGCAGTTAATTTGATAATCACACCTTGCATCTAAGGAAATACATTGCTTAGAAACAACTCAACCTTAGTTGTTTATGATTGTTAAGAATATGTCAAATCATAAGCCATGAGTCACGCGTCTATCCCGTAATCAAAAATTGTTATAGCGTGTGTGACCCGGCGTTTCAAATGTCACGACAGCTCGTGTAAAACTATCACACAAACCAAAAACACTTCGAAAGGAAAGATTCTTGGTCTGTGTTAACTCATACATTCCTGTAGCTATTTAACGCAAACAACATTCTTCCGATTGCGAGCTCAACTGATTAGTAACTGAAAAGCCGTGTTCAAAAGTGTGATCAGTTCCTAAAGCTTCCGCATCAGTTCCGCCATTACAATTTTGAACATTTTTAAAAGCCGAAATGTTTGTCCCCTCGCGATAACTGCTAACGTTTGCGGCGTTACTTGCTTCCAAGGGAAGCAGTGATTGCAAGCTTATTAGGTGCGTAAGTTTCCAAAGCAACTATGGTGCTAGCTACGTCTGTAGGGGAGTCTAACAAGGTAATTCTGGTTTTATCAACGAAGTAGATAATGTAAATTGGCCACTGTAAGGAGTTTCAAAGCTAACGTTTCGAACGCTAGCCTTTCGTCAGAGATTCGCTTTGACATTATCAACAAAGCTGATAGAACCAAAATTACCTGATAACAAACTTACTTCGAAATTGCAAACGTTTTGTTGGTAACTTTGAATAACCGTGACCACTGCCTTCGGTGTCGAAGACTTACAAATGCTTTCAGCCATGATTCGCAGCAAAAGGAAAATAAACATCACTTTCTTTGTGAGAAATAGGCGGAAATTACTTACCGGTCCAAAGACCTCTTCCATGCGAGTGGGCCATTGTAGACTTTAACCGCTGATTTCGCGGGTAACTTCGGTCTATTGTGAGTACAACATCACGAACATGATAATTTTGAAGATTGTATATACTTGATCAACGTCGGACCTGATGAATTCACACAAACCTCTTCTCGGGAAAACGTCTTCAGTTAAGAAATTGTCATCTAAATGCGCTTCAGTTGAATGCTGCGTAGCTGAAAAACAGTGAACGGAAAGGAGAATGGTGTAATTCTGTGATCAATGCGATGAACACGGGTTCAACGCCAAGTCGTAAGTAACATGGCTAATCACGTATGATTACGCAGTTGTTTGATTCGACTTGTTTCCCGTGGGGTAGATTCTTCGCTCATCGATGCATAGGTAACATTCGGACGTTTCTGCATATTGTTTGACTTGATATTTAAGAAAAAGGCTTGCTCTAATTTTCTTCCGAATACATTCACCACATTCTGAGACGGACAAATAGTTTTAACCAAAACTGCCGAATAAGGACGAACAAATCAACTCTTCCCTTCCCCGAAGAGTCTCTACCTAACCGCTCTCTTCCAACTTTATAGAGCGTTTTCACTCACGTGACCAAATTTCTTTATCGTCATGGTTACCGACTTCATCCGCCATGTTGGTGTTCCATGATAATCATCTCTGAGTATCGTGACAGGAAACATTTGGAGCACATTTTACGGTTTTGAGAAGACAATCGTGAAATATTTATATTTTCGTTATCACAGTCCTTTGCCTTGTCATTAGCTGTGGGAACAAAACAGGGAAGAAGCGGTCTAACGTCGAAAAAGTAATGTCTTTTCGTGTCCCACGTGTTCACTAAAGTCAAGGAGAGTACACCGAAGGACTTACTTCTGAGCGAAGAAGAATGTGGATCTGTGCAATAAGTAGAGATGACTTTACTGATGCTTTTAAAAACGCGATAGGGTCTGCAGCCGGCACTTCGTTTCAGGAGAAGCTGCGAAAGTTTGGGATCGATTCAACGTAGACTGGGTCCCTACCCTCCATCTTGAGCATTCAAGTATACAGGTCCATTGCATCGGGCAACTATTTTATTTTCACTATAATAAAGTGGGTATTCTTTCTCTCCAAAAATTTTTTAACTGTAGATGTAACTTAAGCAGTCTAAAATTTAGGAAACATTTTCAATACACCAGATTTTAAAGACTGATATAAATGGTTTCTCAATTTAGGGACATCAAATTGCATTGTTTCAGGGTGTGTACCATAAGCAGGGCATGTAGCAAAGGTGGCAGCAAATACTCCACAGTCACTGCTATCTGTCTGTTGTTGCACAGGGACAACTTCAATGCAAGTAAAATTTGAACGTCCAACAAGATTGAGTACCTGCTCTTGTACTTCATTTAGAATAATGATTTGATACAAACTGTCATACAGGTTGACAGTGCCATCTTCACACCCAACTGAGCTTACACATACCCAGTGGGCATTGCCAGTATGCAGAATCTGAATAAATTCCCCAATAACCTGATTGAAGTTTCTAACAGGGCCTAAAGTTGGTCTCTGAAAGCCCTCCACATCTGGATTAATGTTCCTTAGACAAACATGTACTTCATGGATAATATCACAGTCAAGCCAACCATTGGGTGATGAAATCAATTGGTAATGCCCATCATTCAGCTTTGCAAGTGATGCTGACTTTTCTGAAGANGATTCGACCAGAGGCAGGCACTCTGGATCGTATTTTTTGTCTGATAACAAGAGAGGATCGATTCCAACACAAGAAATCTTCTCTAAATGACGTTTTTTCACGTGGGGATCGAGCGTGTTCGCATAATCTGAGAGAGGATATCCCGCCATGTTGAAAAATGTGGAACACCAACATGGCGACTCAACTTTCCCGCGAAATTTGTGACGTCATGTGCAAACGCTCTATACGTTTTTAGTATAGTTTCAGAGCTGAACAAAGAGTTTCCAGCAATCTGATTGGTCGAGCGGTTCCTTATATGACCCTATAAAAACCGCTCCGCGCGGTTTATATAAAATGTTAAACTAAAATGTTAATAAATGTTACTAAAATGTTTTGATTTTAGAAATTTCTCTATAGTTCAGCTCTGAAATTATACTAAAACAATTATTCGCCTCAGGTTCGGTGAATATTGTCGAATAATCCCCTCGACATCGTCTCGGGGATTATTCGACGATACTCACCGAACCTGAGGCGAATAATTGTTAAATATAGGCCGGTCGTGTGTCACTTTAAAAAAGCCTACATAAAAAGTGCAGCGTGGTCATAAAATGATTTATTTTGCTGCTCAAAGGTTATGTCAGCCTATCTTAGACACATACCTTGTTTTCAGATGTCAGAAGAATAGGTGATTTCGTTGTTTAACGACTGTCCCAGATTGTGCTGGGATATCGTGAGATTATCAAGCTTCTGTCCCAGATTCACCCCACGCCGTTGTTATTTTTCGTCTTGTGTACTCCTGCTCTGGAACGGACCTTCCGTCAGACGCGAGGAGCACCCCGCTGATCATGTTTTAAAATTGAACCAAAACTTTATTTAATCTACGTTTAGTTTTTACATTATATTTATTTGTTATGATGGTTTTGCTGGATCCCGAATCAATGCTATTTTTGTCAGAGCACTGAGATTTTTTACTGATGTAATGCGTAAAACAGAAAACAGTGAAAGCACCGATCTGGGATTTTCCCAACAAATGAAAACTAGGCTGATCAAACAACCGTTCACTCCGTACACTTGTCCGAATAAAACTTCAAGAGAGCTGCCGAAGGAGAGGTACGACATGCACTTCATGCCATAACTATATTTCTACCAAATGGATGTCTTAAGAATCCTTTGGGTGAATGCCGACGTCCATCATTTGACATCAGAAGGGAGTGGTTGATTCCAGGGTAAACATTGGTCAAGTCACAAACGATTTTCAATATGGCGGGCAGGTGTGATATTCATTCCCTACTGCGAAATTGGAATTTTTTACGATTTAGATGATTACACTACTGCATCTTGAGATAATTAAGATCCAGACAATATCAAAGAGTCTTTTTAAGCAGTTTGAATGAGGAAAAGCAGTTCACAAGTTTCATATTTCGAATGAAAACATAATATTCAGAGCAATTCTCCGAGAAAGTGAAGCAAAGTCGGAAATAAAAAATTTTAACCCCCCTTCATTTTTTGTGTGGAGGTAGGTTAGGAACTGGTCATTATTTACCGGGAGTGGGGGCTGGTGCAAATGGGGGGGAGGACCACAATTTCTTTATGCATGGGTGGGCCACTCAAAAATATGCAAACGTTTTGCCAGGAAAAATGTTAAAAGCTGCATCTGGATGCCATCAACAAATACAGCCTATCAAAATAGCTTTATACATAACCACCATAACCTTGGAAAATATGATACAAAGAAGGCAAAGCTGGAAGCAATAGCGCTGCGCGCCAGGTCTAAAAATAGATATGTCATCTTTGGACCCCCCGCTGGTTTAGGACAAACACTCGGAGTCTTTACAAGGACTTGTATGCGAAACGTGTCAGAAGCAAGACTATTTTCGCTCAAAAAATGCTCTAACTTTCTAAAATGGTTGCAACTAGGCATTGCTGTTGGGGTACATGTAAAAATGACTCAAGATATCCAGAAAGATTGCCAGATTCGCTTAATCCGCCTAAAGAAATGCTTAAAAATGGTCGGAAAGCCTTCATACCGTTCCCCAAAGCCGAAG